TTGGAACCAACTTTGTTTTCTTATAAATAATTTTTTATAGTTATAAGAACAATTAATGTTGGTTGGTGGAGACAAAGAGGATCTTGGTGATAAATATGGTAAGAAAAGAAGTAATAGAAGATGACTTCACGCGTGTGCTAAGGAGATGTTTGTTGTCCTTTGGGGGACACATTTTAGCCTAAATTAAGATGCTCTTAAGTGACCAAGTCAGGACCACTATAAGTTTATAGTATTATGATAGATAATGATATTCTTCTAAACAATGGAGTATTATCTTGGAGACTTGCATAACTCGATTCTACTCTTGGCTCAAGAAAGCCAATAATGAAAAAGTTAAGGGCATTAGTAAAATGAAATGATATACTTTGTATAGCAAAACTCTTGGTCTGACTTATATATTCTTCCTTCTCTATGAATTCGATTCTCACTAAAAACATTTTCACCCTCGATTGACCCGTCGAAATAGTTCGTACTTTAATTTTATTAAAAATTTAGTTAGTGAATACTCGATGACTTATATATCTGCTACAGAATTAGTCGGGTTTTGGTCCGGTACCTCATGATTACAAAAAAAATTATAGTATATTCTTCTCACAACAAATCAATTTAAGAATGTCTAGTACAAAGATTAAATTCATGGAGATCGCTGGTATCCTTTTTTGGTGTATCAAAAAAGTTTTGAATCTTACCACATGTAGTCTTTTTGAGTCAAAGATCACACCCGATCAGTACTCTTCCTAATTGTTCTCTTCTCAATGTCGGTACTCTAACTTAAAACCTTACCCAATTCCATCTTAAAAGTGCTCTTGGGTAGATTAGTTAAACTATCGAAGTTGGATATAGCTCTCAATTTTGTTATCAATTATAAATCTGGTTCTATGCATATATATTGTTGATATAAATTTTAAGCAGACTACTAAAACAAAAACCTACCTAAACAGACATATATATCGTATTAAAAAAATAGAAGTTTCAAGATCGAATTGAATTAAACAATTTCACAATTTAACAGTTAAAGATTTAATGGATTTATGTGTGTTTTTGTGCTAATCTTATGTAGATTAGCTTTTCAGGGAATTTGGGACAAAACACA